TGACAGTAAGGATGTTTATTTACAGTAGTACTATTGCAAACAGGTTAAAAAATAAGGCAACTCGGCTTCACTCTGTTACTGCATATACAACAACATGGGTATTTTGTCACACCTGAAAAATTCATTAAAAATCCTCGTTTTATTCCCCCACTTTTTTCATGCCCTTTCTTCTTTACTGCTTTGTTTATACTCTAAACAATGCTACATGGTGATAAACATACCATTGTGTTGTCGTTTATAAACCTATTCTATTAAATGTTTTTGGACTCTCATACTGTCTCGTTTGGCGCTCTAATTGGATCGTATATATGCGTATATCTTCAACCCTGGATTCCCCTCTATGTGGAACATCCCATTTTTGTAGAGGGCGGCTTCCCCGGAGCTGTTACGATTTATCACCTTCTGAACATTTTAATCCAGTGCCTCACCTGTAGTTGTTTCAGAACTGAGACAGTGACAAGTGATCATTATGGAAACATCAGGGATCATGAGACTGAGACTCCCTGATGTCTCCTCTACTTCCAGCCTATACAGATAAAGGACAGATAGACCCCCTTTGCATATTAATTGGCCACTGCAAGAAGCTAAAACTCGGAACCCTGAGGTGCTCAGTGTTCAGTGCTCCCAGTATCACCAAAGCAGAGGAGATCGATGTTTTGGAGTTCTCACATCTCCTCCCATAGTCCATCCGGAATTCCCCTGTAATTGACCACAGAGACCAGGAGTGGGGGAAACACAAAGAGGGAGCAGGTAAAAGTTATCAATCAGATTATAGCCACCTGAAGCACTTCTGCATTAATGACTGAGGTGGCCATGAGAAACTGTAGACAGATAAAGGGTCACTAGAGACGACAGGCTTGTTTTCAGCTTTTGACTAGCCTGCTGTAACATAGTTCTGGTGGTAGCAGTGAAAAGGTTAATTATGGTGTTTACTTGATAGTAGCCAATCAGGTTCACTGACCGACTGTGCAGCCCACATGCATAAATCAGAATTTTCTCTGGTGTGTGCAAAGAAAAAATGACTAAAAATGAGACAGGGTTTGCAAACTCTAATACAGCATTTATTTATATGCAACTTGCATCTGACAGCATAAGTATAATAAGTTTATTGTATGTGATACCTAACATCTACTTTAACTTATAATAAGGCAGTGCAGTATGAGAAGGGGTTAAAACATGTAAAGGAGCTCAGCTTGATATACTGCAAATAACCTTATAAGCTCCTGCTGGAAACGTACTGGAATGCAAACATTTCATATTCATATAATCACCCCCTTAGTATAAAAACTAAAAAGCACACATATGACTGCCCACTTTTTTTGCTTACACTAAAGGTGGCCATACACTTTACAACCATCGCAAGACCTTAGTCTTGCGATGGTTGTAAAGTAATTAAAAAAACGTACGATCTGCCTGTCCAGAGGGGCGGGCTTCCGATGACCGCAATGCTGAACGGGCACACCGGCCCGTGCGGCATTGATCTTACGATCAAGCTAAAAACCAGCCTAAAATCGTACGATTATCGGCTGGTTTTCTAGCGTGCTCCTTAGACAAAAGACATGCGACCGTACAGTAGAAACGGTCGCACGTCTTCATTCACACTGCACGATTCTCGTACGATCGCCGGATTTCCCGCGATTCTCGTACGAGAATCGTGCAGTGTATGGGCACCTTTAGGCAGAACTTCAGCAAACAATTTTCTAGAGCCAAACACCAGCACCAGCCAAAACGTTTTTGTTTGTTTTTCATAGACACAGGAAGAGTAATTACCTCTGTCTATTTTTATTGGTGTATTTGACCCCAGGGGTTTGATTTTACGTCTCTGTCCCTGTGGCAGCAAGACAAAATAAAAAGGGAAGTGATTGTCAACGGAACAGTAAAATGCTGTAATGATAATCTGATGGAGATTTTAACTCTTCTCCATGTTACTGAGGTGTTTTGTGGCAGTCTATGTCCCCACTGGGGGAGACTAATAGCAAGTGAGGAAAAATATCCCTAACTGACCATACGTAAACACCGTACAGAGGTGAGTTCTGTGCAAAGTAACAGCATGTCTTGTCTAGCCAACACTCCTACAAGATATACTCAATGGTTTTTACTCCCTCGTCGCTCTTCTGCTCTGTCCAAACCCTTGCTCCATTCCTGTCACAGAATGGGGCTTCGGGATATTAAGGAGCATATGACCTACCTTGTATGACAGTGCTCAGACATAAGTGGTGATCTGCCGGGCCTGAATTCTGGCATGTGAGGGGGGCAGAGATGCCATCTGTCCGGGTAAGCTCTGATACATTGACGAATGCAGGTCAGATATCTAAAGATACTGTAATTTTGCCCTCAATCGGCAAAGTGACAGTGCCTCTTTACTGTAAAAAGGTACCCACTGATACTAACCTCTCCTGTCAGAACCTCATGTGGAGCCTAGCTGGGGGGAGACACCGTTTTCTCATTTATGTGACAGTACTCAGGCCTGGCGAATGCCCACTAGGCCTGAGTATTGTCATATGGTAGGTCAAATGCCCCCCCCCCCCATTCCCAACAGCACCAACTGAGCTAGAGGCAATAGTGGAGGGGGTTTGCTGGAGAGATAATTATCAGTGGTTAGGGGGAGGCCTTTTGCATAGACTGTAACTTTGCCCATTCAGGACAAAGTAATAGCGTCTCTTTAAAGGACAACTGTACCTTTTGTACAATTGTCCTTTAATAAATTATCCCCACATGCCTAAGTGCAACCCACCCAGACAAATACTTACCTTCCTTATCAATCCAATGATTTTTGCTTTTGGCCCTGTCTGGCTCTGCACAGCCTTTCCAGTGGAATTATCCTGATCTTAGTGTACACACATGCCACAGCCTCATTCATTCCTGTGGATAAGCTGTACCCTGCCGGGCCATAGGAGGCTGCCATGAGTATGACTTTCCTATAGGAATAAACAGAGCTGCAGCACACAAGGGATGCTTTTGCTGAAAAGGCTGTGCAGTGTCGGGCAGGTCCACATAGTAAAGATTATTATTATTATTATACAGGATTTATATACTGTAGCGCCAACAGTTTGCGCAGTGCTTTACAAGATAAGGAAGACATTACAATCACAATGCAATTCAACACAAGATGGTAAGGAGGGCCCTGCCCGTGATGGCTTACAATTTAAAGGGAGGGGGAAGTGATACATGAGGAGGTAGCTGTGTGGGGATGAATTGTTTGAGAACGTGATGGTTCAGTGGTTAGGTTGAGGTGGGATGGCTGGATATAGGAGGAAGGTAAGTATTTGTCCAGGTGGTCAGAATTCAGGGAGGGGGGAATTTATTTAGCGCTCGCTTGTTTACATATGGCCGCCCATAGGGATCACATGGGTCCAAGGTGGATGAAAAAAACGGAACAGAATTGGAACATATCAAATATGTGACATCTGTTTCCGTTCTGATCCAACTCAGCAGGGGATCAGTCTATGGATACCCTGCTGAGATTGAGAGAGGCCTTAGATAGATTTCCCCTCACTTTCTGCCCCATGGACAATGCTAACCCTTACCCTCTATATCCAAACTAAGCAGAAAAGTTTGGATGAAGTTTCACTTTAATGAATCGGACTCTAAATCACAATGACATATTTCAGCTGCAGGCATGTCAAATCAGCCATAAAATCTGGGTGTCACCTGTTATTTACACTCCCTCATCTGCTAACCCAAATCACAGGGCTGATTTCCCAGAATTCTAGTATTGTGCTGTAATATACAGGGCACGGGGTTAGTCCTGCAGGTTCACACAGTACAGAGTTCAGCAGTACACTATTATAAATGTACGTAGATGTCCCTGTCTGTTCATGACAAGCTTCCTGCACAACAACTTTAGCTGGTCATACACATTTTTTGTTCTGCCTGCAGACCAAACTAAATGAAAAAAATCAAACAGATTCTTCCATCCATGGTATACAGTCCAGCATGCATAGACCAATCTCCAGCTGTTGTATTCTGACAGCTGGCACACACCACTATCAGAATCCATGAATAGTAACTTCTGCTGATTGGCTGCAGTCACTGTTTGGCCAAATGTTTGACAAAAGCCATCCACTGAAAGATTTTCTGCTGATTCCTGTAAGGCAGGGGTGATTAGGAGGGGGTGTGTGCATCATGGATCCCCTCCTGATCAAAGTAGTATGGATTGGATGTCACCAGTGTAATATCCGTGTCTGTACAGGTTTTTCCTTCAGCGTGGCAGAATTGTATTGATCATTTCGGATCAACCATATGAATATTTGCATGTGTGTCAGACACGCGATCGTAATAATGATCAATTCAATATAACAGTCTGATTGTATTTCCAGTTGGTACCATATGTGTTGCACAGTTATTTTGATGATGGCAAATTGCTCATGTACAATTGCTTGTATCTAGCTTGAATACAAATGGATACGTGTATGGCCACCTTTCCTATTGCTTGCTCAATGTGGTTTACACCAGTGAGTGATACACCACCAGTGACCAGGTACAGTGATACACCAAGTCCAAGCATTTCCCTGGCCAGCCAAAGTGTTTATAAAGATCAGTCAGTCTTGGCTATTTTGTAGCAAGAGCTCTTCACTAAGCTGACTGATTACAATTAAAGAAAAAACTTGTCACACAAAAAAAAAAAACCAAAGCAGTAAAATACATATAATAAAATAGACTATACAAAGACGCAAGGTGACAAAGCTGTTCCTCTTTGTTTTTATGATTACTAAAGAAACTTAATAAACATGTTGGGGAAAGTGAAGAGGAGGCTGAACACATAAATGAAGATACTAAGAAGACTTAGAAAGGTATGTACAGGAGATAAGTAAGAGGACGATACCCCAGAAGAAGACTTTAGAAAGTTTCCAATGCCATGTAGAAGGGACTGCGTTTCTGCAGACTCTATTACACCTTACACGGGGATGTATACATGTAGTTAAATATTAATCATTATTTTGGGAACAGGCTGTACTGAACAGTGTTAATGGATTTAGTGTTCAGCGCTGTGTACTCACCATCTCCACTGCTCGGGGGTCCATCTGGCTGGGTGGTACTGACACTGAAAAATGGATCTTCTTTCTGCCTTTGCTTTCCATTTGTGGGCTAGTCTGGGAAAGGTTTGAGTGCATTCCTTGTTGAGCCCCAGAGCTCATGTTGGCTAGCCTTGGATTCTTACCAGTCTGCCCTGCTCACTCTGTCCTACTGTCTCCTGCGCACTCTGTCCTATCTCCCCCTGATTACCCTGTCCTATATCTCCCTGCTCACTCTGTCCTACTGTCTCCTGCGCACTCTGTCCTATCTCCCCCTGATTACCCTGTCCTATCTCTCTCTGATCACTCTGTCCTTCTGTCTCCTGCTCACTCTGTCCTATGTCCCCCTGATTACCCAGTCCTATCTCTCCCTGCTCACTCTGTCCTTCTGTCTCCTGCTCACTCTGTCCTATCTCTCTCTGCTCACTCTGTCCTTCTGTCTCCTGCTCACTCTGTCCTTCTGTCTCCTGCTCACTCTGTCCTCCTATCTCCCCCTGATCACTCTTTAGTATCTCCCCCTGATCACACTGTCCTATCTCCCCTGATCACTCTGTTCTATCTTCCCGATCACTTTGTCCTATCTCCCCCTTATCACTCTGTAGTATCTCCCCTTAATCACTCTGTCCTATCTCCCCCTGATCACTCTGTTCTATCTCCCCCTGATCACTCTGTTCTATCTCCCCCTAATCACTCTGTTCTATCTCCCCCTGATCACTCTGTTCTATCTCCCCCCTAATCACTTTGTCCTATCTCCCCCTGATCACTCTGTGCTTCTGTTTCCCCTTGCTCACGTTGCCTGTCTGTCTCCCCTTACTTGCTCTGTCCTGTCTCTCCCCTCAGCTGTTTACCTCTTGCTGTGCTGCTCTTTCCCTCCTCCTAGTTATTTCCCCTGCCAGTCTCCACTCCGATACTCAGTATGAGAGTCCCTTCCTCTGCTTTCGTCTTTCTTTCCTCTTATTTTATGACCTTGGTACCTCCCTCTGCTCTCTTCTAGTTTGTCTCCTGTCACCCTGACTTATAAACAGTCTCTTCCCTGTTAATAACTCAGTGTATGAGAATATGGTTGTCCAGCTGCCAAACAGGAGTCTACCTCTTCTGTGGAATGCCTCTCCTGTACACAGCACTTCTGTGTTTCTTGCCTACTCTGCATGGACTTAGACCAATCATTTTTGTTTCATTATATTCTCTAAACCCTAAACATTAAGTGACTTTGGTTTCACCCTTGTGTGTTTAAGGGTTGAGTGAATGAGACACCTGTAGCCGTTGTAATAGAGAATAATGGATTTTATGTAACATATGCAGACAGTAACAAGGAATAAATATGCATCTCTCATGCACCAATTACAAGCTTTAATAAAGAATAAAAGACATGGAAAGTTGTCACGTGACATCCAACTTCTCCACGACAATTCCCTTGTTCACACTTGTCGTGTTTTCATTGTTGCAGTAGTGGAATGCAGCTTTCAGCTGGCCCACCACCCACCCTATAGTCCAGATTTAGCACCTAGTGACTATTTCCTCCTCTGACATTTGATAAAACATCTTCGTACGCATCGTTTTTCAGACAATGAGGAGTTGTAGTGTGTTGTTCATGAGTTCTTTGAGGAGCAGGACAAAGACTTATTTCTCTGGTAGTTCTTCATCACCTGTCAAGTGGAACACATGTAATGTGATGAGGTCGCTATACTGAGAAGCAAGGAATTTTCTCCTTCATGGCTAGCTAGAAAACCTTTTGAATGCCCCTCGTAGATCTGTCTTTAGCTGGTACAGTGTTTAGGCTTCATTCACATGGGTAACACGTTTCCCACAGAAAAGAAAACACCAGGAGCCACAAAACCCTTTTGACATCTAAAATGAAGATAACACTGCATGTATTGTTTTTTACCTTTATGGGAATATAGGTATATAGGTATATGTAACGCACTGGACCCCAGGGCTTAGTAGCGCACTGGACTCAGGGCTTAGTAATGCACTGGACTCTGGGCTTAGTAACGCACTGGACTCAGGGCTTACCTGAGACCCCGCAGAGCCCACCTAAGAGTGACCCTGCAGAGCACACCATAGATCCTGCACAGCCCATCTTAGACTCTCTATGGTGGGCTCTGCAGGGCCTCAGGTGGGCTGGTCGCTGGGGTCCCTTTCCCTGTACCTCCTCCCAAGTCCTCTTACCTGCTGCTTCTGGGGCCTGGCCTCCTCCACCCCCTCCCCTGTCACCTCTGCCATGCCGCCCCTGGTACAGCTCATACTCATGTAAGAGCCCCCCCAGGCTGCCCAGACTCCTCACATGGGTACTGGCCGTACCCCCCTGATGGCGGTGTTCCATCAAAGTTTGTGACTAAGTTACAATGTGTGACCGGTGACGTGGTCACACATTTAAATGTAATCACGCCCAGTTTTTTGGCGGTGGAATGTGTGACCACCAATAGCTCGAGCATTTCAACGCTTTGTCAGCTGTTCCAGGACAGATTGGCATCGCAAATGTGCAGGAGAATTGATCTGCCCTGGAACAGCTGTTCGGTCCTGCAATGTCACTTCTATCCGACTCTGTGAGTGCGATCTCACATTTCACCCCACTCACAAAGTCGGATAGAAGTGACATTTCAGGACCAAACCGCTGTTCCAGGGCAGATCAGTTCTGCAGATACCATCTGCGATGCTGATCTCCCCTGGACAGGGAGCCACAGCAGGGGGATGAAAGAGCCACATGCGGCTCTGGAGCCGCAGGTTGCTGACCCCTGGCCTAGTGTATCACTTTTCTTACAGCACCTAGCAGTTCTTTAGAAAGAAGTCGCTTCACTGGAGTTGATTTTCTAAAGAAGTACATACTGTCCACTTAGTAAAGTTAATTTCCAGCTCTGCTGACTCCCATCATTCAATTATTTGCAAGTTTACTAATGTACTTCTGTGACCAAAAGTCAGCTGATAGTGGTATCGGCTAATGGGGCAGAGCCACATCGTTGTCAATCAGGATCCTAATAATATTGTCAAGATCCAACCTGGCTAACTAATTGATGGCTGGCTTTTAAGGGCCAGTTCACACCAGCCGCTGCACAAAATGCACAACATCTGGTGTGTGGTGCCTGACACAGTGCTGGTGCGCCAATCCCGCCACATATTATTGTGTACATTTCATTCAGTTCTACAGTCACAGTGGGGTGCGAGGCGGTTGTTCCCCATCGCATCCCGCTGTGCTGAAAAAAGTAAGGCATGCCATAATTTTTTTCAGAGCACACCCCTGCATTCCCACCACAATGCTGTGTTGTGAAAGGTGTCTATCCATGACAACGCAAATTGCCTTTTCTTGCGCTGGGGCTGTGCTGGAAACAACGGCCAGCACAGCCCAAACTCATATGGTCTGAATGGACCCTTAGGGTTGTATTTTTTTCAGCGTCCCGTCCAGCTGTCATTTGCAGGTCGAAAAGGCTGGCCTTCAGCTGGCCGTTCGCCCCACTTTGGCTGACACAAGCAGATGCCACAAGCAGCTAAGGCAAATGTCATTTGCAGGTCGAAAAGGCTGGCCTTCTGCTGGCCGTTCGCCCCACTTTGGCTGACACAAGCAGATGCTCACAAGCAGCTAAGGCAAATGCCTTCAGCTCAGCTGAGCCGCTCGGCCACCTTCAGGTGCTGTATGGGCTATAGTGAATAGCCCGTACAGCAGCCCTTCGGTTCGACTGAAACGAAGGGCTCCCGCAACCAAAGCTAGCCGAAGGATCAGCCGAAGCTATGGCTGGAGCCTTCGGCAGCTTTGTGAATAGACCCCTTAGTGTTATTTAATGTTTGTCCTGTAAAACGGCCACAATGAGAATATATCAGCCTATTCCCTTCTAGAATGCTGCAGAAAGGACTTCTGCATTCTGACATGCCAAAAATCTCACAGACATTAAACATCTGCAGAGAGGTTGCTGCTTGCATAAAGATAATAGCAGCCTCTCTGCAGCATTCTGACATACCAAAAAAAATCACAGAAACATCCCACAGGAATCATACTGCTGCAGAGAGGTTGTTGTTTGCATGAAGCGAACAGCAGCCTTTCAGCAGCAGTCTAATATACAAGAAAGCACAGGGACATCCCACATGACTCAGAGTGCTGCAGACAGGCTGCTGCTTGCCTCAAAATAGCAGCAGCCTCACTGCAGCACTCTGACCCATTCAGGACACTTGGCAACTATGGAAAAGGTACCAACGCTTATCCAATCTAAAAAGTAAACACAAAGGGGGCGCCTTTCCTAGTGCAGATCAATTTATTTCAATAAGCACGAAGTGAAAAAGAGATAAAATGGTACTCACAAACATGAGTGTTACACAGGCATGGGATGGGAGCTGACATGCAGTAAGACATCCACTAGACAATTCCTGTGTGTGAAGACGTTGACGCGTTTCCGGGGCACGCCCCCTTCATCAGAACATCTTATCCAATCTAGTGAGAAGTATAAATGAGAGAGGCTGTGGCTTTTGATTTGCAGTCTCTTGGAAAATTGACAGTTTTTAAATAGTTTTTCATGAACAATACAAGTTATTTCTATACACAGAAAACATTTGACTATACAGGTGATATAAGCAGGATATAAAAGTCCTCATTATTACATCTGATATTTTCAATACACAGAACAATTCAAATTCAACCCGGAATAATACTTTGTTTCCCCTCTTCTGCTAAATGACTGGAAGAGGGCATCTTTTATACAGTATGAACAATTAGATTTGGCAGATTAGCATAGGACTAGTGAAGGGGGAAATCTAAACCTCTTTATCTCCCCTGCTGTCTCTCTGGAAATTGAGCATGCATTATTAAACCCCTCTAGGCAGGGGATGTGTGGTGTTAATGAGTTCAAGATGAAAGGTGAAATGTTTTCTACTGACAAAAAATCCAAGTAAGAGAGCTCTAAATTCACTATGTTCAAAAACCATTCTGTGTCAATAATCCTAGAAGTTGACATTTGCAGGTTAACCTGTAGATAGGCTTTTAGTTTTTTTTTTAGCTGCTAGCAGTGCCCTTTAAAAGGGCTTTCAGCGTTTTACATAAAGCGTTCCTCCCTCCTGTACTCTCAGTAAGAAGCCGCTCCTAATAAAGAACAGTGGACTGATTATCCTGCTGTTGTTTACATCTTTGGCAAGCTGATTCCCACTAGTATAACAATAAATGTAAATAATCTATCTATTGTATAAATGAGTAACATGCATTAGTCCTGTGCATTTGGAGGC